GACACACATGGCTTCCTTTTCCTGTCTGCTGCTCATTTGCCTTTTTCTTCCTGGTGACCACTTCCTCTCTTGTCTGATTCAAAGGCTTCCAAGAACGCACTTCACCCCCTCGCCCTCCAGGCAGGGCACGTGGTCAGGGACCAGCCAAGGACCTTCGACCCTCATCCCAGAGCCCCGTTAGGGCCCTGGGAGCTACAGCTTAGATACCGTGTGGAGCTGTGGCTGCCACTGAGGCTCCGCGCAAAGAGAAGCCCAAGGGGCGGGCGGAGATGCAGAGATGCGGGAGGATCGGGCTGGGCACAGCACCCTCCTGCCCTGAAGCCAGGCCGCCCTCCACGTTGGGCCCTGCAGGAACTTTCCGTCCTGCTTTGCTCCCCGGCCCTGGCCTTGGGCTTCCATTGCCCGTGCCGGCCGGGGCAGACTCACCTCCGTGTTGTTTCCGTACCACCACACGTAGGTGAGGGTTCCCACCTGGCTGGGCCACAGCACTGCCGTCGCGTTGACCTCTTTGTTCTTTGTGGTAACGAAGGGAAGGGAAAGGTGCACGTGCTCCAGGGGACCTTGGACAGGAGAGAGAGGCGCGGGAGGCGTCAGGGCCCTGCTCTGACAGAACCCGGCTCCCCTGCGGCCATCCCCAGGGAAGTCCACCCCACCCTGTGCCTTCCCTGTGTCAACTGTGGCCCTGCGTCCGGCCACTTCCTTCATAGGCTGTCCATCCCGCCTAAACCTCAGTCCCAGATGTTTAAAGCTTGAAGCTGTACACACGGCCGACGAAGTCTTTCACTGGACAGACACAGCATCAGACCGCGGGGGAGAGACAAGCTCTTCCCAGGAGTTTCCGTGCTGGGTGACAAACTGGGATCGTGGACTTAGAGAAGCCGTGTGGGGCGGGGGTGCACAGTGTCCCGAAGACTCATTGCACGAGCAGTTATTCCACTGTCCGCTCGTGTTAAAGGGCTGCACACTCGTAGTGTGTATGTGTGTGCAAATGCAGCCCTTTGCTCATCCTCCTCACCCCTGGCCCCTGCCAGCTCGGCCCCTCTTCCCTGACTCTTCCACTGGCTCCCGATCCCAGGTCCACCCGTCAGTTGGAAGTTGAGAGCCACATGAGCGATGCTGCAGATCCCCCCTCTGTTCTGTCAGGGTGCTGTCTTTCTTTCTCCTCTATGAGCATACGTTTTTTGAAGTCAGAACATCAGGGTGAGGACAGTGCGTGTGTGTCGCTATGGCAGTGGCAGAAATGAAACCCGGTCACCGAATTATGTTCCCTCATTCTTTCCCTGGTTTCTGAGTGCTGCAGATGCTGGATGATACCCCGGGAGTGGGGACACCCAGCACTCGGTGGGGCTCAGAGACTTCTGAGGGAAGGAGGCACTGAGCACAGCACGCAGGGTTGGGAGAGAGCGTGTGGTTCTGATCCAGCAGCCCGGGAGGGCCTCTCGGGAGAAATGGGATCCAGCAGCTGACGAAGTGAGGCCCAACCAAGTGGATCCGAAATACCCTGGGAAAGGCACAGCGGCAGGTGGAGGAGGAGCTGCCCTGCCATACTGAGCACCTGCAGAGAGCTGGAGGGAAGGCGTGGTTCGAAGTGGACCACGGCGCCTGGGCCTCCTGGGGCCTGAAACACGGCACACGTGTCTGTCTGTACGCTCATGCTTTCGGGGTACACATTACATCTGCACACCTGTCTGAACTCTATCTCTCAGATTCCATGACCCCTCTCCTAAGGGAATAAAACACCTGGCTCCTGCAGCCCAGGAGCCCATCTTTAGACCTCTCTGGCCTACACAGAAGTTGCACTCTGCCTCCCAGAGTCACTTGTCAGCCAGTGGCTCTAAACTGGGGGCAGAACGTTGCTCAAGCCTACAGGGGCCTGCGATGCACAAAATGGACAGCAGGTGGCGCTGTGCCACTGTGTGAATCTTCCTGGAAAGGCATTGCGACAACCCGGGAAACTGTGTGAGTTAGGGTTCGCTTCACTTTCCCTGAACAGCTTTCTAGTGCTTCAGGAAACAGCCAACCTCTGTGAACCTGAACAGTGTGTGTGCGCTACATACCCTCACTGCTCTGGCCCAGCTTTAGCATCTACATCCTGGAAACCCCTGCCCACTTAATTCTACCCTGCGTATGAATGACACTGCTCTCCCTCTGAGGTGCTGCAATAAAAGCCACCAGGACAAGCAAAAGTAACTCGGGCCACAGGGAGGATATTCTAAGCCTGGGCTCCTCAAACTTCAGTGTGCACCCGAAAACTACTGCTCTCTTCAAAGCACAGGACGACGCCACACTTCCAGAACTCCTTTCTGCAGGCCGGAGATGGGCTCAGGAACACTGTGTTCTCATTATCTGAGGAATGGACAGGTTGCCCTATGAGCAATGTCTGCCCACAGCCGCGGGGACCCCCTTCTAAGGCGGGGTCACAAAGACACCTGCAGACCGTCCCTGTGCTAAGAAAATCGGTTGAGGAAGGACCAGCATGTCCACCTCCTCTCTTCCCATCTCCCTTGCCGCAAATCTGCAGCATCCACCATGACTTCTCCCCCAAGATGGCCAGGACAGGGCAGCTGTCTGAGCAGAAATCTGAGTGCCCTCCAATCCTGTCCCACCCAGCTGAAGGCAAAGCTGGATGCATCATGTGTCTCGTTAGTCTGCAAAGTAGCAGTGCAGAGTGCAGAGTACCCCCAAGGAATTTCCAGCTGTTGGGCTGCAACAGATTACAAGGGCACCCTGACGGGGTACTGGCCACTCCTGGAAACACTGCAGCTGGAACGCGGGCTCTGTTTGTTTCTGACGACCTTTGCAAACTTGTACTGAAAAGCCTCTGATTTGGAAACCCATCATCTTCCTGCACTACTGGACAGCGGTGGGCAGCTGTGTGTGTGTGGGGAGGTGGGGTGGGGTGGGGAAGCTGGGGGTGGAAGAGAGAGGAGGGCGGATCAGCTAAGAACCAATCCCCTTGGCCGAATGTATGTGCCGCTGTGTGAAGATGGGGAAATAGCCCATGGGGTGCTGCATAGTTTGCTTGATGGAATCTCAGCAGCAAGTTGTGCATCCACCTGACCGAGAGTAAATGTCGATTCAGAGCGATACGGTGGCTCTGCCAGGATCTGGGCTTAGCAGAACACCTGGCACTGTCCAGGGCTTTGGGTTTTTGTTGCTTTTTCCTTAATGCCATCCCCGCCCCCTTCCTCTGTGTCCTCACAATTTGGCACCAAAAGTCACTCATGACACCATGTAGATATCAGACACTTAAGAGTGTGACTCAGTGCTGCTCTTAACCTGAGTTCCTCCTGGTGTAGAGAAGCACACTGAAGTCACAGCACATCTCCAGCTCTCATTTTCTCCATCTGGGAGAAAGGACCTAACTCGTCCATTATGGCACAGAGGTGGAGATAAAGCATTGGTCTGTGTGCTAAAGTGCTCTGGGTCCTTTGTCAAGACCTGCTCAGCCTGTTAGGGTGAGGGGTTTAGATGACCGTGAGGTAAGAACAGCTTAATACACGATGCTGCTTTAGGACAATAGTACACAGCGCTGATTCCTGGCCCCAGTGCATGGCTTAGAAGGGTGTTCCATTACAGCAGGCATTTTACCCAACCGATTCTCCCTAGAGGAGTTTAAAAGATGGAATCAGAATGCAGACTTTCAATTATAGGTCATCTCCCACTAAGGTTAGTGTCAAATATTTCACCCAATCAATGAGGCTGATGAGGGGAAAAAAATTACATATGAACAAAGCAACTCATTTCTTCTGGAAGTCATGGGCTTTGTGGCCCCTTGTCTGGGGCAGAGCCAAGCTTGGTGAGGTCAAGGAGAGGTCTTGGCGTGGGGGACCCTGCAGGACAGACCGCGTGTGGGAGTCAGAAGAACCCAGGCTGTGGAGGACGCTGGGCATGGAAAACTCAATGAGACACTCAGAACTTTCCTCCAGAAACTGCCCCTGGACTCTAAATCTGAACTCACATATATATGGAGTAGGGTAGGTGCGCAGTACATGCGTGAGAGGGGAATATGGTTGTAGCTCCTAAGGGGGCAGCTGTTTAGTGAAGCTCTCTGTGTAGGGTTAGCTGTGGGGTGACAAGCTACAGGATAGGCAGCCATCCCCAGCGGGGTTACTACCATTTGTGTTGCTAGTTTTGTCCTCTACTAATACCTAATGTTTGTGGTGCACTTGACAGGATTTCATATTATTCCCATGATATCATCACTTTTGTTCTCCTACGTGTCAGTGCTGGAACCTCTGGCATGTGTGCCGCCGGCCATTTGTTATCATTGAAAGCTCTGAAAGGTTCACCATTCCTTCCCTAAGTATGATAAGCAAGGGAATTAGGGCTTGCAGGTTGCAGTGAGAGGGATGGGAGCCTATGCCCACGGAGCCGGGCAACATGGCACGGCCTGTGCCCTATGGCCTCAGGCTTCCTCGGCCTTCCTGTGAGAACATGAGGGGAGAGCACATGCTGGTGGAGACTCGGATCCTCCAGCCCTGGCTGCCATTGGCCCTGACACTAACTTAAAGATTGAGGGCTGGAATTCTGGAGCCACCTGAGCCCGGTACGAGGTGAGCGTGCACTCAAGTGAGTTACTCTCAGCTCATCTGCAGAGCAGGGTTTACTTCCCAGGAATACTGTGAGAACTGAGCTACACACAGGCAGAGTCTGTGTGGTGTAAAGCCTGGCTGGCACATGCAGCCCGATCTTAAGAAAGTGCAGCCAAAGCAGGGAAAGTGAGGGGCAAACAGACAGAATCCTGGCAGGAATCTGGAATCCGGAAGGAGCCAGAGCTTGTTTCCTGAAGCGCCTCCTTCACGAGTCTCTGGGAGAGACAGATTCAGGTCCAACGCAGTGCTACTGAACTATGAGGATCCTTCAGCAACCAGTCTCCCCTGCATCACTGACTAGTCTTGTCCTTTCACCGGACCATAATGGTTAATGTAGAAAGTCTAGTTGCTATTTTCTGTGTCTATTTTGTTCTTTGGGCCAGGTTCAAAGGACAGGCACGGGGCAATGCTCCCTTTACTTCACCTGCAAGGAACATGGAAGGCAAACACGGCTGTTCAGACAAAGGCGCTCCTTTCATTTGAAAGTAAATGATCTTTATAGTAACCGAAACAAGCCCTTGGTCAGTCGGCTGGGGAAGCACTCAGCGTATTTATGACGCAGCGTCTACCCAACATTACTCAGGAGGTGCTGAGTCTCCTCTCCTGTATGGTGCCCTGGATCGGGGAAGCCTGAGCATTTCCTGGACCTGTTTCCCAGAGTGCAGACTCTTTATTGTCGTTTACGCTCCTTCCCTCAAAACTACTCGCAAAAATCAAGTGATCCACAGATGGGAGCCCAGGAAAGACATTTTGTTGTGAAAAAGGAGAGAAAAGAGAACCACGGTGTTTCCTCTACACAGGAAATGCTGCATTAGATTTTAAAACAGCACGCTATGCACGCTAGGTCAAAAGCCAACAGCAGGAATAACATACAAGTTACATGTAAGTACAGCACGGCGCTGGCGGACCCCAGCCTGTTGTCCACCTGCACGGTCACTCGGAAGATGCCCACGTTCTGGTACACGTGCTTGATGCCATCCTCCATGGAGCTCAGGTTGACGTAAGACACCGCAATGCCATCACCGAAGTCCAACTGGATGAGCGTCCTCTGGACGTCACCCTGCAAAACAGCCCAGGGTCAGAGGGACTCTGCTCAGAGGGCGGTGCTGACAGGCTGGCCTCTGGCTCACCCCACAGCGGGAGCCCTCTGTCTGTCCTGACAGAATTGCTGTGACTATGGAGGGCAGGCAGGGATTCCCTAAGACTGGTGCTCTCAAACCCCAGGGATGCCAGCTAACCACAGTGCCGAGGCTGGGAAAGTAATAGTTTGCTTACCAGTTTCACTGTGAGATTCAGCTCCTCGGAAGACTTTGTTAACTGTTTTGTCATCCGCAGGACTAGAAGCACTACAGCCAGCCTCAAATATTCGGCGTCCTATGTGACCAGGAAGCACTTCCAGTATCTTCCAGACCCCTGAATTGTCCTCCTTATAGCTGGTTTCTTAACTGGGCAGGAAGACACCTTGTCTGCTACCCACTAGGGCACTGCACCCAGCCCTGTCATTACTGGAGAAAGAACGGCCAGCTGAGCATGGTGGCACATCCCGGTAACCCCAGAACTTTGGGAGGCTGAGGCAGGAGGATCCCAAGTTTGAACCCAGCCTTGGAAAATTACTGACTTAGCAAGATCCGGTCTCAAAGAATTAAAAAAGGGGTAGGTTTGGGGATGTAGCTCAGTGTAAAGGGCCTGGGTGCAATCCTCAGCACCATCAGAACAATTACGATAACGGTTAATTCTTTTAAAGTACAGTACTCGGTAGGAACAGAAGGATTCATTTTATTCTACATGGAATTTTAGTGTGGAGAAAAGAAGAGGCAATGTTCACCCACTTTACCCAGAAGGAAGCTGAGGTCTGGAGCATTTTCATCGTCTGTCCAAGTGGGCTGTTCTGGCCCATTCATTACAGACAGAACACACTGCTAAGGGTGAAGCACTGAAGCCTCTCTGGGCTCAAAGCCTAGAGCCATTAACAAGGTGGATGAACAGTGCAAGTATTTCAGTCTCCTTTGGCCTCAGCAGATCTGTGAAATGGGCATAATAAAACCTTATCACCTGACCTCAAAGGGTTGTCATGGAAACATCCAGGTAACTAACCATCTGGAACACGCTATATAGAAACACGCGTCTCTGAAAGCTCATCTGTAAGAGCCCTACAGTATTCCTATAAGATTGATTAATATCAAATAATTCTAAATATTTTCATTCCTAAACAGAAGATAAAATATGATAAAATCCTGGACCTTTAAAATGAAATGGCCTTTGGGATGACAATTTAGATTTTCAAGGATCAAAATTGCTTATATCTAATTGGCAAGAGCAAGCTTTCCTCACATGCAGTTAGTCCATTCCTCATTCTTTAGCAAGCTCTTTTTTTTAACTACCTTTCTCATTTTCAGGCAAAAAAGTTTTGTTTTTTTTTTTAAAAAAACCTTTGAACTAGAAATGTATTTTCAATTAAGTAAGGTTTATATGGTACCGTGTTTTTTGAAAAGGCCAAGTTTAAAATGCTGACATTTAAAAGATTAATTTACAGAAAGAGGAAAAATATTGCCGATCCCGTGACTCTATGTCCCTGAGTCCGCAATCTCTGCCCAGCCAAGCACTGTGTGGGCACAGAGCAGCTAATTCTCAGAAAGAACTAGTACAGCTCTCAGTAAACACACAGGAAAAATTCTCCCCTGGGGTGAAAAAAGAAACTCCATTGAAAACTACAAAGAAGTATCTGCAAGTTCAGATGTTGTACAATTACTCAAATTCCCTCCTCTAATAAATAAAAATGTCAACCGATCTGCCAAGGTGTCCCTCACTGGGGCAGCCAGGCAGACCTCAACCTCTCGGCTTGTTTCTGGAGAGTGCACTTCTGGGTCTCCTGCTCTCAGCAGATCTGCTGGAGGCCAAGGCCAGAAAAGTGCCCAGGGCAGGGGCCCATTTATGGAGGCCAGGGTCTGAGCAAGTGTCAGGGACACAGCGGGTCATTTATGGCATAAGACACACAGCAGATCCCACTGGAGACAGCTGGGGGCTGGCGGGCTTGAGAGGGACAGCTGGAGGGTCATCTGTGGGGACAGAGCAGACACAGGCAGGGGCCACTGTCCGCAAGGGGACTGGGGGAAAACGCACAAGTCACATTTTCAGGCAGTTCTGCTTCAACTTCCAGTGAAAAAGCAGTAACAGACACAGTGGGGAAGAGTAAAATTCTGGCTGCCACTGCTTGAGTCTTGCTTTGCCCTTTTCCTCCAGTATTCATGATCTGCCTTTCCTTGGCCTGGATTCAGAAGTCTTGTCAAGTACACAGGGCCACTCCCAAGTTCTGTCCATCTGGATGTCATGCTAGTCTTTTGGCTTTGCAGAATCCTCAATTCTCTACTCTGATGACATTCACTATGCATATGGTAGATGCATAGTGGGGAAGAGAACAGAGCTTCTTCAGGTTTGGATGACTGCACCAGGGCTTCCATTACAGAGTCAGGCTTATAGGACACACACACACACACACACACACACACACACACACTGCAGATAAGTAATGACCAAATTAACAAATTGGTCTGTGTTTTCAAGAACTTACAATCCTAGTGAGGAAGATGCACTTGAAATAATCACACACATAAAAAATACATCAGAGGGTGAAGGAAGGAGACACACAGGGTGTTTTAAGTTGGTACAGAAGCGAGAGGAGAACTGGAAAGTTAGTCTAAATGGGAGCTTCAAGCACTGCTGGCGTAACTTATAAACACAGTTCAGTCCTCTCCGAGTTCCTTTCATGAAGTCACTTATTGCATCTTGTAGAGTGAGAAAAAAGTGATATCCAAGATAAGGCTCTGCTTTCTCCCCTTGCTGGACTTTACTCCTGACTCCACTGTTTTCCCCGTACCTTTTCTGAGACATTTCCAACTAAGGATGGATTGCCATGAATTCCATATACCACGCCTTCCATCTGCCCTCAGTGAAACAAGGTTATGTCTAAGCCATGACGACGACAGAGAATGCAAGGGATGACTGGGGTTCCTAGTCGGTAGGTGGAGAATTCTTGTGTATAATTGAGTTACCTCAATCCGACAAATGAAAAATCATCATTTTTCCAACTGAATCCAGGCTGGCAGACGTGGACCACCACCTACGATTCTTCAGGCCTATCACCCCTTACACAGGTGGTAAAATAGTCAGAACGGAGAGGACTGGCTCCAATGTGCCTCAGCACGGCGCAGAGCCACACGGGGGCCCCACAAGGGCATCACCAATTCTCTAACAGGAAAACAAACACATCAGATGGCCACAAGGAAGCCAAGGTGAACCCAGGCAGCGAAAGGCACGTGAAACCATCAGCTCCTGTAACTTGGATCCGGAGAAGAGCAGGTAAATAAATGCTACGAGAACTAAACCTTGACAGCTGGGTCCCCATGCCAGCTTCCCAGACGCCCCTGAGTGCATTTCAGATTCAGCGCTGCTGCAGACAGCGGGACTCCTGCAGCGGAGCCTGGCCTGCACAGCTGCATGGGGCCTGATTCAGGTGGTGGGGACATTTGCCTTGGGAGGGAGCTTAAAGATCGTCCAAGGGAAACCACAGAGAAATGACTAGTATAACCCATTTTTATTAAAAATAAACAAAAATGACACAGTATGTGCACTATGAGCCTGGCATATTGGTGTGGGAATAGAGAAGGCGCTGACAGGTACAACCCAGGCTTAGCTCGGATTACCTGGAGCAGAGGGAAGGGAGAGAGGCAGGGTGGGGACACAGGACTGAGCCAGGGTAAACAGGAAAAGTAACAGGTCCACCAACCTTAAAGGGGGTGGATCACCAGACAGGAGCACTGCGGGATTCAGCATCATTCTCTACCATTACTGCCAATACTCATAGGCTACAGGGGGAACAGTCAGAAGCTAACACAGTGGAGCTCTGGTTTGGGGTATCTGGACCCCAGATTCCAGCACAGATTAAGACAAAAATATCATTAAGCAGCACTGAGTGACGGAAAATCCAGCTATGTATCTCAGCCTGTTCTGCTTGCGGCTTCTGACACTTAGGCAGGGCAGGGTCAGCCACCCCTGCTTGTCAAACCTGCTCCAGGTCGTAGCAGACTGATCACCAAGGGCTTCAGGAGTGGGAAAGGTGGTAACTATGGTAACTACCATACACCATGCCCTGGCTTTCAAAGACGGCATTTCATTACTCCTCAGAGTGAGCACATGGGGAAAAAGTCTACCCATTCTCCTTTCTCAAAAGGAATGAACTCTGGCTAGCGAGAGAGCAAGGGAGGTCGCTGTACGCTCTAGAACATTCTCAAGGAGTCACTGAAGGAGAAGATAGAAGACTTGATGAAAGTTTACTGTGCCAGGAATAACAGCAACTAATTTCCAATATATTATCTCATTTAACCTTCAACTATTTAAGACTCAGACTCGTTTAACTTTCCTCGGAATCCCAAGAACAGTTTGAAGCAAGCTCTGCTTGACTCAGCCCCACGCTCCCACTGGTCGGTCCCTCACCGCAGACACCAGAACTGTTCGGGTGCTGAAGTGTGCATCACTCAGCTGAAAAGTCAGCTTCCGGAAGCATCACACAGGGCTGCGCTGTGAATGTCCCTCCAGAGTCCAGGCATTGGAAACTTAATCTCTAAGGTAACAATGTGGAGCCCTGGGGCTTTGCTCTCAGGATGCACAAAGGTCGCTCTCAGGAGAAAGGTCAGTTGCCGAACAAGCAGGTCCTGGAGGAAGCACAGCTCAGCCCCTTCTGTCTCATGGGTGTGTGCTGTCGTAGACCTTCCACGGCGGCCTGATTCTCCAAGGAGGTCCTCAACACGTGGGAACCCCTCAGCCTTACACGAGAAACCCCCAACCCTTATGCCAGCCTCTGGCAGAGTGAGAAGCAGAGCTCTGTTCTTCGTAAATCACCCAGTTGCTGTTAATCAGAGAAGCATGGAACGGTCAAAGGCACCAAGTGCAGCACTTTGCAGTGTGGGCTGACTCTTCAGCAGATGGTGACAGATGGTGACAGGCTCCACCAACACCTGAGGAGCTGAAGGGCATCTGTGAGGACCCCGGTAGTGTGAGAGCGTG